TGGACAATCACTGCATGTAGATGTAAATGATATAATAGTTTATCATTACATACTGAAAATTCCAAAATGTTTGTGATGTTTTAATTATTTGCAAAAATTGCGACTGGATAAGTTTGGTTGAAGAAGAAAAAAATCGCTTTTTATAGCATCTTTGCAGTATTATTTTTTTAATCGTAATAATTAATCTCACGCCTGTGTTTATTTTTCAACAATTGCAATAACTAATGCATGTAGAAATTTCTGAATTTACTATTATTATAGTAGTACCCATACTTTCATGTTGAATACTTTTAACTCCATTTTATTTATTTATTATTGTATGTATCAAGCTTCCATAAATATCGCCAAAAAACATGCAACTGACGGTCTTCCACGAAGCAAAACGTCACAATGTCGAAAGAATATCATTGTATATGCCATTAGAAATTAATAAATAAACGAAGGAAAATGTTTTATCCAGGAAACTTATTCCGTTTTAGTTTTATGATACTCGTCGTGATATTTGTTCAAATCATCAAGCAAAAGCACGTGTTCGAATCTGTATAAAATCAAAATCGGATGGAAAAACGTATCGTGTAAACAGGACGCTGTACGATTTACCTGAGCGTTGGTATAAAATCGGATTGAAAATCGGATGGAAAATCGTACCGTGTAAACGCACCTTAAGCCTAATAAGGGGAGATAAGTCAATTAAACTTACTTACCACTTTTGTTAAATATACATCATGTGTAGCAAGTAATCAAATCCCATGACTTTGATTTTCTCACATTTTAAGCAAATTTTTAGAATTATCTTCTCATATTTCGTTTTAAAATTATACATTTTATTGTTCTTTCTATCACACAAAGTTTGTTTTTTCCATTTATCAACTATACAAATTTTGACAATTTTTACACAACTTGTAGATTATAAAAAAAAAAGAATAAAGCAAGATATTAACTTTTTTTTTGCAAATTATCAAAAAATTCTATTGATTTTATTTTAGACCCTTTACAATTTGAGAACTTTGACAAAGTTATTTAAGAAATAATTTCTTCATGTCATGCTCTATGCTCATTTTAACATGGGTAGGCATTATTTGTCAATATTTTACACGGAGCGTTGACGTTAACTGTTGACGAAGCTACAGCTTCAATGACAAAATGTTGCAGACTTGAAAAAAATATCTAAGGAATAATATCATATGCATTGCAAGTGAGACAAACCAATACTTTTTTGTAGTTTAATCATATTCCAGATGTCATTTGCCGAAATATTTATCAATTATGGACTTTTGACGAGGTCAATACCTTATATATGGACCTGTTCAGATTATTTTGACCGAGGACGAAGTCCGAGTGTAAATATAATCTAACAGGTCCATATTATATAACGTGTTGACTGAGTGAAAGTCCTTAATTTCTATATTACATATGTAAATAGTGTATTAGGAAAATGACGTTCAGTGTTCTTTCTGTGGATTTTTTAATTGTATTTTGCAAGAATTTTAACATGTTACTGAAAACAAGGATTTGTATAGTACTATACAAGTCATACAAATCCTTGCTGAAAATATCATTTTTTTTTATTTTTAAACTTCATAGCTTGTTGCATTAGAATTGATTCTTGTATTCTTATCGTCTGCATTTAACATAAAATTCTTGAAATCTCCTGATAAACTTGCAACTTCTCTTTTCTGATGTGGGGTTTCCTCCGTGGTTGTCATGTGTGACGTCATGAAGTCATAAATCTAAATTTAGTAACATTTTAATATTGACCACCAATATACGTATAAGGCAGCAACCATTTGATTTTCTGGGGGGGGGGGGGGGGGGGGGGGAGGCTAAGGATTTTTAAGGCTTTCAATTTTAGCATTACATATAGTGGCAGCTGAGGGTGAAACAAACAATTTTTTTTTCTCAGGGTCAAGCAATTTTTTTTTTCTCCAAAAACTGGAAACAAACTGTTTTTTTCCAAAAAAAATCCAATGCCCCCCCTCCCGAAAAATGGTTACTGCCTAAATAGAAACACAGCGTCAATATACGTAAAAATTGAAACAAGGCGTCAGATACGTAATATAACATTTGAAACACGTGATCGTCATATCCAATGAAAACATTAGAATGCTACACCATATGTAATATTAATAGGTGTTCAAAAAAGAACAATGTTATCAAAAATTTGTCCCAAATGGCTTTATGATTTGGTCAGGAATGATCAGGAATGCTCACAGGGAAATGTCTTGTCCGTGTAACTGATGATGGATGGGCAATGGCTGCTGAAGTTCATCTGCAAATTAATATGCATATTAAGAATGAGAACATGTGAATCTTATATGAATATTAACCCTGCTTTGTACTCAACAGACAGGCTGAAAACTGATGAAAATTGAATTCTATGTTGAAAGACCAAAAATGCAGGTTTCAATCTAGGTATAACAGAACATTTACATTATCATTGACCCATGAATATAAGGTCAATTTCAGATAAACCCTGTCAGCTGGTCAGATGCAAATATAAACCATACTACACCTTGCAATCATTTTATACACTCACTATAGTTCTGACCTAATCATAATAAAATACACTGCAGGGCACAGTTTGTTACAACCACAGAGGTTGAACCATGAACAATTGGGGCAAGTATGAACACAATATTCAAGCTTGATACAGATCTTAATTTGGATTGTGATAAAATATTTGACACAGCATAGGTTTCGGACTCCAAATGAATGTGGTTTAAGAATTCAAAAATGCATTTACCTATACCCTAATACCCAAAATCTAAAATAAGTTTGAATCAGCATTTCAGAGAACTCAAAAAATTCAATTTTTAATTTTTTGATTTTGGACCCTTTGGACCTCAATTCGAACTAGTTTGTTAACAGGGCTAAAATTAAATCCATTATCTAAACACAGATCACAGTTACCAGCAGATTCAGCATATCAAAGAACCACAAGAATTAAAATTTTGGTTTAAATCAAACTTAGATTAATTTTGGACCCTTTGGACCTGAATGTGAACCAATTCGAAAACAGAAATACACAAACATGGTAACAGATTCAGCATATATTAAAGAACCCAAAGAATACATGATTCTCATCGAAATTGAAATTGGTCAAGAAACAAATAATGTATACAAACAGTTTGGGCCATAATCACCAAAATCAATTCCAACTTTCCCTTTTTGGTTTGAAATCTTGTATAATAATTTCATAGAAATCCATGGATTTATTCTCAAGTTATGGTCTGGAAACCCCGGAAAATCTTTTTTTTTTAACCTTTATTCCTAAACTGTTAGGGCAATAACCCCAAATTCAATTCATACCTTCCTTTTGTGGTATGGGACCTTGTGGTTTTATTTCTTTGAGATCTATACACTTAACTCAAAGTTATTGTCTGGAAAACATATGTCTACAGACCACAATGACGACATATCCACACCATTATAAAATGGCAAAAGTTTTGCAGTCTATAAAAACTTAATGTTGACCACACTTCAAAAAAAGGCCAAGGTCAGATGTATCTCATCAGACAATCATATTCACATTATAATCATTCTGTACACCATACATTGTTGACCTAGAGAATCTGACCGAGAACAGACCAAATCATGGAACCTAAATGATGACCAAATGGTGCAGGATAAGCCAATCAAATTAACAAATTTTTCGTAAACCTTTTTCTTATCCCAATCCATGCAATGTGATACAAAATATATCTCTTCATGTGAAAAATTGATCACAGGCAATAACCATAAGAGAATTAATTGTCCTTATTACACATAAAAACTGTCAAATTAATTTGAAAACAAATAATGTACACATACCCTTAAAAATGGAATCAAGATAATGTTCATATGCCAGATTAAACCAGACCATAAGGCAACTGCATACAAGATATGGATTAACTCATTCTTCTTCAGTCTGGATTATGAAGTTTTATATCAGGAGCATCCACTGCTAAATCTGTATCCCTGTGTTTTGAATCTGATGAGCCTTTATATAAACTAGATCATTTTAGAATTCTAGATCTATTTAAAGACTTGGCAGCCAATCAGGTAATCAGCAAGTCCAATGAACATTTCTGTCATGTAATTCCTAAGTATCATTTGTGTCAAGTCTTGTTTAAACTAGCAAAGAAGTTTCTGTGACATTTAAAACTCAAAACATGACGTTGAAAGATACCAAGAGATGGAAATATAAACTGTTGACACAGAGATATGTCTTGCGTTTTTTGGTGGTATAATACAAATGTTGAAATTAAATTGCAATATTTAAACTTGTTATATATGCAATGAACCATGACTGATGGTTCAGGGCAAAATAAAAACAATGGAAATGCTAATGCTTATAAAACTGCATACCCAACACCATTGACTTATCAATAAAATAACCAATTAAACTGTGAAAGTTTCAAAGTCCATGAACCATGATAAGGAAGTGGGACCAAATAATCTCTATGAAAATGAGGCTTGCAAATGCCAATACAACTGCATACCAAATATCAGATATTAGTCACTCATCTTAAACTGATCTAATCACAAATCACATGTAAATAATGCAAAACATTGTCAATAAACCATGACTGAGGCTGGAGCTCTCTATGGAACTGAGATTTGTCAATGCTTATACATCTGTATACCAAATATCATTGACATACCACTTATAGTTCCCTTTCAATTGACCTAATCACAAACTTATACATGTAAACTAATTAAAAGTTTTAAGTCGACTATGACTGAGGGAGAGAAGCAAAATAATCTCCTTAGAAATAAGATGTTTCAATGCTTATATAACTGCATACCAAATATCATTGACCTACCACTAGTTGTTTTCTTTAACTTGAACTTATCACAATCAAATACATTGTTGAAGCTGCTGCTTATAGAAAATGCATGCCCAAGTCTCGCTTTTTCAACTTCGTCCATACCATACAATAAATCAGCTGTGTGTTACCCTTGACCACAGAAACCTCTTCCCCCTTTATTTGTCATTCAGACTCAAATAAAATATAAGATAGGTTTTCTCAATTAAATTTTTATTTACCTATTTATTTATATCATTATCATGCATCATAATATAAAATACTCAAATGAAACCAGACCCATTCTGCTCCATCAAGTGTGTACAAATACCAAAGAAATTGTAATAATAATAAGTTTTTAGTCCCTTTATAAGTAAAAGGAGGAAAAGGATCTGCATCATGGGTAAGGTATCATTGGTTAAATATCACAATTATACAAAATAACTGACAGCGCTGAGGATTCTATTTAGTTTCTTGACACCAGTTCCCAGACTAGCTGTTTAAATAGAATTTAGAAAATCAATTCTGTTCTGAGATACATGTCTTAAATTTTAATATCCTTAGGTCTTAAAGGAATTTTTTTTTGCTCAATATTAAACTTGGTGCTTTCCAATACTTTTAAATACCAAACTCAAAATTTATTTAATTCCATAAAATATATGAATCCTCAGTTTGTCACATACGAAGAGGCATTTACAAATATAACAAGGAATACAATGGTAAATTCTTAGATAAAAAATGCATAAAAATATATGAATCAAATTCATTTATGAGGTGTACTCAATTTATTTACTGGGTTATTTAAATAAACTAATATCGTGAGCTGTGCAAAAAATATTAGATCACCAAGGAAATAGTTAACTGCATTTCATTAAACATTTATAACCCCAAGCTCTTATATTGTATATAAAGTTTCTTTATAATTCCTCCCAATTTCTAACCAAAGTCAATTCTTTATATCAAAGTAGGATAGTTATTTAACAATACATGTATGATATAAATATTTTTTTTAATTATTTTCTTGGAACCAGAACTTTTTGCCCAGGAAGTAATAAGTAATTATTTCATATAAAATAAAAGAGGAGATATGATTGCCAATGAGACAACTCTCCACCAGAGACCAAATGACATAGAATTTAACAACTATCAGTCACCTACAGCCTTCAACCATGAGCAAAACCCATACCCATAGTCCATATCCTTTAGGAAATGACTGTCATAGTAAGCAAATATATCATCTGTTTGCTCATCCGTCTACAACTTCCAATCACAATTAAAGGATTGAATTGTTTTTGCCTAAACTTTCAAATAATCTTCAGGATCTGTTGGCATTGTGTATATTTTTTTCACATCCAAAGGTTCCCCAATCGAAGAATGGACTTTTCCATTTATAAAATTTTATTACTCATATTGAAGGATAGGTTGGTTCAGCTGATAAGAACATAGATTTAGTTAGAGCAAGATTCTGCATTTATAAATCTTGTAATTTGGTCAATCTTCAACGACCACTTCAGTATTTATGTTCATTCATTTTTCTAATTTATCCACTAAGAAGAGGTAAAAGCATAATAAATGTCTGATCTCATTATGTAAATTTATATTTTGAATTGCATGTATAATCAAAATATATAAACTCAATCATACTAAGGCTTGGTATAACAAGATTTGACAGTAAAAACAAATAAAATCACATAAAAACCTCTAAAATCAGATAAAACCAGATAAAACACAAATCCTGTTATAGCAAAGCCTTATAAAGTTTACATTAAAGCTACAGTGGTAATATATATCAGTGTGAACTCCAAATTTATTTTGAATTTAAGTCATTAAAATTTTGTCATAATGAGATCCAACTACTAAAAACATGATTAAAAACAAATATATTTGAACCAACCTATCCTTCACATGATAAAATGGTGGTATGAGAAGCTTCTTTCCCTTTTTTTTTCAAATACTTAGGAGGTCCATTCATTACAATTGAGAACCCCAAAATTTCATTATAATAAAATAAAATACACACAACCATTAGATACAGAAGATAATCTGAAAGTTTAAATGAAAACCTTCCAATAGTTTATAAGCTGTGGATGTTAGATGATGATGGACAAACAGACAGACAAATCTTCTTTAATAACCTTTTTATGCTCAACATGAGTGCAGATGGGCATGGGATTTGGTCCTGCCCTGGGTCATATCAAAGAATTGAAAATTGGTATTGGATGCTCCCCTGCTAAGCATTCAGCAATTAGGAGTAGGAGCAAAGACTGGTCAGCTGGAAGTCAGAATAATGTGTTTAGGTGGGGTTAGATGTCTTGTGCAGACTTTTACATTATGAACTAGCACATTAAAAAAATCTTGCATTTTTAATTATCCATCCATCCTTCAAAATCAAAAACTTCTTTTACAGGATCCTGGTTATACATGTGGAGGGGGGAGGTAATTGTTTAGAAACTGAGTACAAGCCTCAAAAATCAAACATTAAAATATAAATAATCATAAATGAGAAAGAATATAGAAATCAATCACACAAAAATGAGAAAATATGACAAACTGCAAAAACTATGTAATTATTTTCACTTGAGTGGTCTCAGATGCTGAATAATGCATTTATAATATATAAACAAAACCAATAAATAAAACTGACAGCCCTTAATTTGTATGAATGTAAAGAATGCAGAGTCAAAACAAACCATCCACCATTTTCTACATAAGAAAATGCCTGAACCAAGTCAGGAATATGACAGTTGTTATCCATTCGTTTGATGTGTTTGAACTTTTGATTTTGCCATTTGATTGGGGACTTTCCTTTTTGAATTTTCCTCGGAGTTCAGTATTTTTGTGATTTTACTAACTAAACATTTTTATTTCTAGATATAAGAAGATGTGGTATGAGTGCCAATGAGACAACTCTCCATCCAAGTCAAAATTTATAAAAGTAAACCATTATAGGTCACAGTACGGTCTTCAACACGGAGCCTTGGCTCACATCGAACAGTAAGCTATAAAGGGCCCCAAAAAATTACTAGTGTAAAACCATTCAAACGGGAAAACCAACTAGTTCATATTGCACCAAAAACTCAGTACTTAAATTGTTTAATAGGGGATTTGTTTTATTCCCTTTTAGTGTTTGGCCATCAAAGTCCTACTTAATAGGTTTCTAACCAGAAAAAATCATTTAACTTATAATTCTTAACCAGTGTACATAACTTAAAAAATATATGTAAACTGAACTTGTGTCTAAAGCAAGTCTTATGGGTATCTTGTGAAACCATACAACATACCTTTGGGACCTCTCAAATAACAATAATTTCACAGTTTTTTTTTAATATTTCTTCAATCACAAAACAATAATTGAATGCAAGAAAAAATAATGAAATAAATATTTATAATTTGAATAATAAAGCATTAAAAATTAATTGCATTTATAATTCATTCTGCTTATAAGACAAATATCTGCTGATTTTTTTTACAAAAGATAGCAACAGTTCATCCAATGGTTTGCAGGATTGTAGTCTGAGGATTTTATCATACAAGGAAGGCAGCAACAGCAACTCTTTCGACTGAAAAAGAAACAAAGTTAAATTTCAATTGTTGATTCTTAATTTTAAAATAATCTAATGGGAATAAAGAAACAGACATCAGTGTATGTTAAACAATTTGTTTATTACTTATATTGATTACTCAAAAATATAAAGTATCAAAAATATCCGATTTTATTGTTATCTCCCCTTCATATATCTTCTTCAGATCTAGTATCTGCTTTAAAGGGTACATTATTTTAAAATGAAAAGATTGAATACTGATTTTTTTTAATTGTAAATTAAAAAAAAGTATATATATTGAAATCTATTTAGTGACATTCATCACACTATAACATAAAAACATTAAAGTTGTATGTTGATGAATAAGTTCTCACCTTATAACAGCTTTATCCCAGCAAGTAACCCAATCGAAACCTGATGCGAACCTGGAATATAAAAGTAGTCAGTTATACTAAACTTTCCTAAAAAAAATTATTACACATGTACTAAATTTAAAATTGCACTAGGATAACAAAAAATCATGGAAAAAATATTTGGTATTCTGAATTATAAACTCAGTTTTATATTTACCAAAAAAATTCAACCGGTATCTCATCAGTGTAAAATTATTTTTTTGGTACTAAAGAACCTTATGAAATTGATTTCAAATATTATATTACTAAAAAGATGCTTGATTACCTACCAACATGTTAACAATATCAGACATCCAAGTCTTACTCCCAACACCATGAAAACATCATCATTATAACAACCTAAATATAAAAAAAATAAAAAAATAATTACGTTTTACAGATCAATCTGTCTCTAAGAAGACTAACAAAATAATGCTATGTTTCATTTATTAAAACCTGTTATACATTATCATCTTCACTATATAAACTTTAAACTGCTAGAGATAGAAATTGACCTTGTGCAAGTGCACGTATATGTATAAGACAATGATTTTGGAATATTCATTTACAAAATCGGATGGTTTTGTTCTCTTTTGATGGTTCTTAAAATCATTTTCATAACAGCGTAGACAACCCCAATACTTATGTTGGTAATAATACTAACTCAATTACTGTAAATTCAGAAACTATTGCAATGTTTTTATTATTGCGAAAAATGCAATAAGGTTGTATTGGCAATAATTTAAACTAGCATTTTAGTCTAAAATTACAAAATCGCAATTATTGAATGGTTATTATTTATTTTGAATTTATTGAACCATAAAATTAATTTTTGACTCTTCACATTGAATAATCCGCGAAGCGGATTATGTAAAATGTGAAGAGTCAAAAATTAATTTTATGATTCAATAAATTCAAAATAAATTATAGCCATTCATTATAAATAAATTTCTATCAAAAATAAGGCTCAAAGAACTTTTTATATTATTTATATTAACCATAACAACGTACACGGATGTTGGCATATGAATATACAACGTCAGAGTGGGCGTGTCGCCATAAAAATTGACAACATTGAAAATAAAAGTAATACTTTTAACCAATCAGAAGACAGTAAATACACCAAATTTATTTATTAATAATTGCACGTAATAACTTCTGAATTTACAGTAGCTTTAACTTGTTTGCCATTGGCTATCGATAACAGATATTTTACGCTCACTCAGTCTGTCAGAGGCCTTCCAATAGGGATTAAATAGAATAAAAGAGCAAAGTACATGTTGGCACAAGAGAAGAAAAAAAGAAAATAATTATTCAACATTTAAATCGACAAACAAGGTTTAGTCCTCATCTAGTAATTCGTACTATTTGATGTAGGCATTTAGAACCTTTGGCGACTCGAGTTTAAATGTCTTATAACACATTCAATGTGACAAGTGGGCGTTACAAACTTTCACCTTATCTGACCCAGTCAATAGATAACATAAGAGCGCCAAGAAATCGTCTTGTCCACGTTTTTATAAAAATGATTCTATATCAATTCAATATTCAAACAGTTACAGACTTTGCATAAAAATTTGTTCGACCCAAATAAGTTTACAAATTCATTGATAATAACTTGCATACAGTTGGTTTCTATCCAACACAGCTCACTCAATACCAGACAGAAAACAAATGTAAGACTAGATACTCTAAAAATCAAACACTGATAGAAAAGAACCCTTAAAAAATAATGTTAAATGCCTATATATATATTATTACCATAAAATTTGTGGAATATATAAACTTACCACATATTTTTCATGGTAAAGCCTCAGACTTGGTGAAGATTAAATTGACCATCTCCCTTAGAGCTGCTCTCCCGGCTGACAAGGTGGCTCTCCTCATCATCTTAACATTTTTTTTTTTAAATATAGTTTTATACATTAAATATATCAGATGCATTTCCAATAAATCCCCTTTCTTGTAAATTTCAGCAAATCAATTGTTAATGACCCAAGATTTCTCCCACCCTGCATACTTATTATCTAGAGCTCTGCTTACATTTATTTTTTTTTTATTACAGAGCTCTAAATAATAGTCAATATTAGCTAGTATACATCTGATATTAAAAAAAAATGTACAAACATGAATATCCAAGTAGATGAAAATCCTAACATTGAGGGAATTTCAAGTGTGTGGAGTTAAACAGGGGTATAATAAATTGCCTCCCTTTGACCCAAATTTCACCCTGTTCGGACTCAACATCCTTGTTATATTAAACAAAATAAATAAAATAGTACAATTAAAATTAAAAAATAGATTGATAAATAAAATCTAACACATTTCAATAAAATATTTCGTACTAATCGACTTATGGTGGCAGAGTGGTCCTATAAGTAGTTCAACTACTGTATCACTAGCCTGTCAACAGTGAGAACCCTCACATGAAATGTGTAACTTCATTCTTATTTGACTAAGGTTTGCCCCGTTTCCCTGATGAAGGTGATGTTTTCACCAGGCACTCTGGCTGTCACCACAAATAAAAGTTTACAGCCAAAATTATAGTAAATCATGTTAAAGTGGTGTTTAACACCAAAAATCAACCAATCCAATTTCAGCAAGATGTTCTTCAACTATGCCTTTTGTAAAATTATTCTTTAAAAAATATCACCTTGGTTACAAACCAAAATCAGCTAAAAATGACAAAAAAAGTGCAAAAAATATATTTCTTTCTAACTTCTTAACTTCGTAAATTCCTCTGCATTAGAGCACCCTTGTCACATATCTTAAAGATATTAAAATTAACATGAAAGAAAAGGTTGTAAGGGGATATATTTACTGCAGACTATTATTCATCTTTTTAGTTTACACTAGAGAGGCATTTGCTATGGTAAGGTATTTTGAAACGTTGCTAAAAATAACAAATAATTAAAATTTTTGCTAAAGAAATTTAGTGGGAATATTCACATCGGCAGATTTAATTGCATTAACTACATGAATAAAGTAACTTGTAAAATTTGAAAGTATCTCAAATCCTAAAATAACAAAAAGATGGCAAAAAGATATACATTACAATTTGCAAAAAAAAAAATACATTTCAATAATTGAACATTTTTTTTTCTTTTTTCTTTCTTTTTCTTTTAGATTATCCATTCTTAAACTGCTGGAAGTGTTTTGACTAGACATGAGTATAAACGGAAAATAGAAAGAATTTTTGTAATGTCAAATACAAGTTAACCTACAACTTCCAATCTTGTTGAAAATGGAGAATCTTTACATATTTTTTTTTTTTTTTTTTTTTTTGTAAAAAAATTATAAACATTTTCTCAAGCATACACAAAAATAGTCTGAATTACATTCTTTACTGTTGCAGTTACATCACACAATCATTTTATGCAGCCACAGTTATCTGAAAAAGAAATATACATTACTCATGAACATTGAAATAATATTTAATGCAAAACAATTATAATTAACTGAGCATTACAATTATAATGTATAGAACATTTCTTTTTCTTTGTTATAAAGTGATTTGTTGACATAAATTTTAAAGTACCAGTATTTCTTAGCAATAAAAGGATGAAAAACAAGTCATTGGCTGATATCTTTTTAACATTGTTTTATAGCTGTATATAGTATATCAGGCTATTAACATACTTGATTGAATTTTTTAACATTTAGTCATGTTGAACCTTTATAGCTAACTATACAATATAGGTTTTGCTCATTGTTGAAGGCATAGGGTGACATTTAGTTGCATCCACATCATTTGGTCTCTGGTTGATAGCTGTCTCATTGGCATACATACCACACTTACATATTTTCATATATGGGGACAACTATAGATAACAAAACAAGAGGCTCTCAAGAGCCTGAATCGCTCACCTGTATTTCAGAGGAGAAGATTTTTAAATGTTAGCAAACTTGATGAACAAATTGTTTATAATTGTCTTTAAAGGGCAATAACTCCTTAAGGGGTCAATTGACAATTTTGGTCATATTAACTTTTTTGTAGATCTTACTTTGCTGAACATTATTGCTGCTTACAGTTTATATAATATCTATAACAATATTCAAAATAATAACAAAAAACTGCAAAATTTTGTTAAAACTACCAATTCAGTGGCAGCAACCCAACAATGGGTTGTTCGATTCGTCTGATAATTTCAGGGCCGATAGATCTTGACCAATTAAACAATTTAACCCCATGTCACATTTGCTCTAAAACAATTAGTTTTTGAGATATAAGCCAAAAACTGCATTTGACCCTTATGTTCTTTTTTTAGCCATGGCGGCCATGTTTGTCGATGGATACAAACTTCGGATACACTTTATAAACAAGATAACCTAAGGAACATTTAGTTAAAGTTTGAAGGTAATTGGCCCAGTAGTTTCAGAGATGATTATTTTTGAAATAGTTTACTACGACAGACGATGACGGACGCCAAGTGATGGCATAAGCTCACATGGGGCCCTTGGGGCCCCGGTGAGCTAAAAACTGAAATCCCAGGATTTCGCATTATACATTATACTTTTTGACTTCCCTTATATATCTTTATATTTCCTTCTAAATTGTTTATTCAACTATAAGTAAAGAAGACATTAATATGTAAGATTTACATCTGTGCCTAACAAAAATCTTGGGCTTTAAAATGCTCTTGGATGAAAAGTTCATAAATCTATGTATTGATTCTTACCATAAAAGTCAGCTCCAATGCCCACTCCCAGCTTCAATCCTTACAAACAAGCTGTGATGCTAACCTGAAATATAAAATGATAATTCATTAATAAAACCCTGTAACTCGGAAACGTAAAATCTAAAATTTATAAAAATCGAAAGGGAGCTCCTGTCAATAGATATAAACAATTCACCACAATTTCTTGCAAGTTGGTGAAAGCATACTCGAGTTATTGTCTGAAAACTGGAAAACCCCCTTTTTTTAATGAATAAAACCCCATAACTCGAAAACGTAAAATCTAAAATTTATAAAAAACGAAAGGGAGCTCACCTTAATAGTTATTTGAGTTAATGTC